TGGTATTTTTAAGTTCTGATGTCTAGATTGAACTGACACATGTAAATTGCGCGATCAGAATAAGATAATGAACTGTGCATTCTGATTCAACCAGTGACATTTTGTTATTGCTAACTCAATTACCTCTTTTGCGTTTACCATGGCAACACGCTGGTTTTCAATACTTTTCTAAATAAATACACTTATTGGGGGAAAAATGACATCATAATTATATCCTAACACACACTTGCGTAGTTCTGAGACCTAATAATTTATCTCGTGTATACCAGTATGCCTGAAGACCAAATGCAATTACAATTTTGCATGTATGATGTGGAATTCTGTTGCTTTCTGCAAATGGAAACGACATTTCATTTATACCACGTACTGTCATCAGACCGTCATCGGAAATGTACCTTGCATCAGTGATATTTCGGCAGATTGGCGTTAGAAAAGGTACAAAGTACTGCTCTTGCTTTTTAAAGTTTTGAGGCACCAGACATATTGCTTTATACATCTACTGGTATTGCAGTGATATTATTACAAGTTACAACGTTTTCTAAAATATTATGAAGTTACGGCAAAAACGAGTTTAGTGATCTAGGTATTATATATAATCAAATAGAGATTAAAGGTGATATTTTTAAACCCACAAATGTACTAGTTTTGGCATTATGCGGTAACGTGGTACGCAATCGTCTTACCCTTGTTGTAAACTGGATTTGATATAACGTTAAAGACTTCGTACATTTGATTCACTATTTAAATGACACTTCACATTTGATCTTGATTATTTAATAGCAGAAATCCTTAAACAATTAAATGATCTGTAAAGCCCTTTAGAATAGGTAACCCTCCCCATTGTACGTTACTTCCGCCTTGCGGAGTACATTACCGTTGATACACTACGACACACTACAGTAGTCAATATTTGTATTTTTTTCAGTAACATGTCTGGGTTTTATATTGAAACATACACCTGTACCATGTACCTATGCTGGACATCAGACGGTCAACACCTGGGGCTACTGGTTATTGACCACTCCAGTTGGTCCTAAAAATGTCAAGAATGCCATGTTAGGTCCTGCGGTAATGCGCGGCAATCCATTTAATTAATCGGAAGCACAATCTATATGCAAGTAATGGGACTGGGCAATCCTATTGTTAATGTGACAATGGTATCTATTTGAGTAGTCATGGTTTTACTTTTTTAATTGCTTTCTTTTAACCTCCTGTAAACAATTCAAGACGTTGGTTATTGACATCTGTGTATAATACCGTGTCACCTTGTATGAATTCTCACGTCTCACGTCCCGGACGTACCTTGGTCATCCATGTATAGTTTGTGTACTAATTAACTAGAGAAATATACATGACACCGAACCACTGCAATCAGGGATTATTCAGATTTATTAGACAGCGACGCGTCCTTGTATACTGATATTGTATCACCTGCCTTGACAGATGGCATACAGAAAAATAATAACCAACCAATCTGTTCACAGATACAGACCGCCGACTACGGCGTTTATTTACAAATAATATTACTCAGCATTTGTGTGGAATTATTCATATGTAGCCGATGCATGTTTCACAGGTACCCGAGCGACACAGTTCAAAATGAACACGATCTTCTTTCCCGTGGATTTATCTGGAAAGACCAGACTCTTGTTGAATCAAATTTCGGCTAAACTAAAGACATTTATAATGAACAAAAATGTCAAACACGTTACTTTTCACGAAGGCATTTTTTTCCATGCAGTCAGCCGACTTCCATGATACGTCTCTTGAACACCTTGATCGTAAATACTTCACATTTTAGGCAATAAAACCTATTATGATTATAATAAGATACGACCAGTACCTTTTCTGTCATTTATTTAATTTTCCCCATATGGGATATGCTGACAGGTATAACTATCGGTCGTTATGTCAAGACAGGGGGCGCAATTACTATACCTCTTATGTTGGTCACTTTGTGGTTTGAATAACGACTTTTACGTTTTTCACATGGCTAATGATGATTTCACTTCCATATTAACCAACGAAATATTGAATAACTGTTGGTCGCAATAGGATATTAGCGTAACAGTCTATTCCCTTGGTTTGTCAAAAGGTCGTCGCCCCGTTACGTAACCGATATAAGCCACTGTGGCGTGTAATCTCGTCACACGATCGCAAAACACGATCGCGTCACTTTCCTTTGTGGCACAGTTACGTCACACGCGATAAGCGTAATTGTTTATTTTACATTGTGGTCGGAGGCAGTGACCGCAAACGGTCTGGCGCATGGGGTGTTTATTTATGCAAGAATGGTACGCATGGTGGTGAAGGTGTCAGAAGCCGTGACCGTGTATAATCCGTCAGTTGCTATCTTTGTGGTTATCTTCATAGTATTGTTTTATCGGAGACACAGGTATTGCCGGGATTTGCTTCATGTATATAGGATATAAAAGTCATATCTTGTATTTTTCTGAAACACATTATTTGACATTCCTTAGAAAATAAAAAGCAACAAGTAACTCCGATAAAAGTTTTCAGTGGCGGAATATCAGAGGTTCAGAAAAAGAGAGATTGGGAAATATATCCGTAATATATAAATATAAGAAAAATATCCGAAGTCGTGTCTGTTGAAGCTGTCCTGAAGTCCAGAAATCCCTAGATCCCCTATTGAAGACTTAATAGGGGGTGCCATTTTGTACGTTTATGAGTGTCACCCAATTCAATGCAATCAGTTTATTTTTTCTTTAAACCTTTCGTACACAGATCGAGCTGGTGTAACAAGGGGTTTAAGCACGGTGACTCATTCCCCCGCAATCATACCTTTATCAGATCGAGTTTCGTGGGAAGCTGTCATTAGCCGGCTTTGTCACTATCATACCTGTACTGTTTACCTGGCCTCGAGATGTGAAGTTATTTTGCCGTGTATTGATCTGCCGTGTCTTAAAAGTCTTCATAGCTCTCAAAAATACAAATAAAAATGGTTTGATTACTCTGCAATGGAAAATCATATCAGGTCTTTTCAGTGGTTAATACCGGCGACGTGTCTTCGTTATCTGAAAAGTGTTTTACGATAAATAAAACATTCATTTATATGTTGTATATATTAATTAGCGATACTGAGCGCGTTTTTTCGTCTCGGAGCTCATCTCTGCAGTTTGTATTTGGTGTCATGAATGCTTACACACGTTCGTATGTTGCACATGATAAGATAAAATATTCCCGGTATAAAGGCAACATTTCCTTGATTTTGTATTCGCTGATATCATTCACCGATATAAGTGTTCAATTCTAACTGATTTTAAATGGTGATATCAGCGTATTACCCAAAAAGATTGAAAAATTTAGAAAAAAAACAACAACAACACGGTGCCAGAGTGTAGCAGGAAAAAATATAAAGCTGCCATGAGGAATATCGTTTCTTACGTCACTAAGTTAATCATAATCTTAATTATATAGCTTTAAGAGGATATATTAGCATATATAAGTCAAACAATGCATTAGCATCGTCCGGGATTGGTTATCCTGCAAAAGCGATTGACCTAGTTCTATCCAAAGATGGTTTTTGAATCACGGGTTATCTCATGAATTTGTTGGTAGGCCTACTACCGGTTATATTCATACTCCTTTTGTTTGATGGTAAATAATTCAAGCTAAGCTTCGAGTCGTTTCAATTACACATTCTCTATGTCAATTCAATTTACTTCCGTGAGTTTGACAACAGACAGGTGTTGCACGCGAACTCGTGAATGAGTGGTCAGTTATCTTGACCACCACAATATTAACCCCTCTTGATAGTCGTTTAAATGGTCCGTAATCATCCATTTCCCTCCACCAGGATATTTGCCAAATACATATTGTTTGATATGCGATAAGGCGGTTGATGTCGTCACGAGGACCCACCTTTCTAATTGATATTTACACACAACTGTCCAATATCCGTGACTGTGTGTACATTTTTTTCCAGTAAGCTATTAATCATAAAACGGACTCACCTATGAGATAACAAATGTGTAGGATTCATCAGAGACAATAATAGAATATACAATAAGGCTATACACGTCTCTACTCTGGATTCATTGAGAAAGAAAATGCATTTTTCACTAGACCTAGACTAATTACATAACTAGAAATCATTAATTAGAAAGATAGGATGGATGCCACGATTAAGAAATAACGACTTATATTAATGTCCACAGCGCTGTCAATAAAGGTGGCTTGAAAGTGCTCCAAAAAGCAGCCATGTGACGTCACGACGCAAAGGGTCTTACTCTAAGCATATGACAGCCTAATTTGATCTCGTGCTCGAAGCTGGAACCCTAAATTCACGCGTGCGTGGATGTTTTTGTTACGTGTCAGCATAGATATTGAATCACACTGACACGAAAACGACACAGTATGTATTTAATTGACACCTGCTAATCATACCGGTAATAGTTTTATCGTAATCCTGCTAAATTGCGCTAAAGTAAACAACGGTGAAGGGGTTTCCCAAGCCGCCGGCTTCCGTCTGTCGGTTTACTCAGCAGGTGCGCCATTCATGCGTAGAAAAATATAGTCCAGATATTGAAAGGCCATATTTTTATTATAGATAATAGAAGCAGTGATTATAATTTTCTTCTATGTATATTATATTTCACAATTAACATTTATGAGTAAATTGATAATGGACAATGACGAATTAAGTTCAAGTAATTTGTAGTCATTAACGCGGAATGATATGTGAACGGGGGACATCCCGGCGTGTATACTACAGCTTCTGGCGCGGGTTTGAACTAGGTGTCGGCAAAAAAACAGTACGAGAGGGTGTGTTTAGGATTATTATTCACCATTGATTGAGAAAGTGATCTATCGGAACCAAATAGTAGGTATATACCTTATTATGAGTGTTTACACCACGGTGCACTAAGGCACGCTGCATCATTCGGAGCATCTTTGCTAATTTTGTATTGATTATAAACCTTTGTCCACAATGCAGCAACAGCTCATTTTAATGTTTATGTTCTAGAACGGGATCTGAGGCGTGACGATGTTTAAATTCTTGAAAAGGCATCCGCCGAAGGATAGTGAAGAACGGGAAAAATTAAAGAAGGAATTGTTCGGATACCGTCGGGTGAGTAGATTGCATTGTGAGGCAGCCATATTGTGTGAATTGAACATCCGAATGACAGAATAGTGAGTCATATGCCTAAGATCCCAGTAAGATACTGTCAACATCGAATCTGCATGTTTTATCTAGAAATCTTTGTTTAAAATTAAATTGTTCATGGATAAAATCGTGTTACTGGTTTCAATCTGTCGGGTGTCCTTATTCATTTGACTTGTCTTAGTGTTAATTACGTTTCAGGTTAAGGCTGTTTAAACTAGCAGACAGGTGTGCACGTTACGTATACGTACACTACAGGGATGCCCCCTTAGATCATTAGGATATATTTGTTAAAATTTCTTCTTTCTCATTTTAGTGTTTCAAGTCCTTAATCAATTGTGTATATATTTATCTGAATGTTATTCTGTCAAACCTTTATAACATTCCAGACACTCTTAAAATTCTTCTACTTGTGTAGCATGTGGGTGGTAGAAAAAGAAATTCATAGGATTGTTCATAACCCAAATTCATTTAAAAATAAGACACATGTCTATTTATATGTATATATATACCTAGCATTTATGAAAGAAGGTCCAAGTTCAAATGAGTTCTCGTCTGATAGATTTTGATAAAAACAATTTGGCCCTACCTGTTTTAATTTTTCATAGTAAATGTTATTTATTTGCTCTAATATTGTATTGTTTATTAGCTCTATTATGGTACTAAACATATTTGCATACTACCAGTCAAACATTCCTGATTACGGTGTGACTTATTTATCTTGTCTGGTGAATCATCCATTGTTTTATGAATCTTACTAATACTAGAATAAGATAATATAAAGACATGTGTTATTGTACCAAATCTTTATCACGATTTTATTAAAAATAAATTTGAATAAAATAGTTGCATAATGTGTCGTAAAATAACAAAAATAGCTACCCCCAAAAATACAGACCTGTACCCCCAAAATCTGCTGGTGTACCCGCATTTTGGAAACCTTGAGGGTACATAAACCCCCCAGATAGAAAAATGAGTGGGAACACTGATGAATATTGTGATAAAAAATGACATTTTAATTGTAGTGTCTTGATCATGGATTTCCCAGTAAGCCATCATGCATGGCTCATGACCCAAAGCTTCGACTGCTGGCTGTTGGAACGAAACAGGGAATTATCAAAGTGTATCCTTTTTAGCTGCCAAATTACCACATACATTTGTGTGCACTGGTGTGTGAATTGTCAATACGGTAAAGTCGCTGAGGCAAAACTAATGCTATATTATATATGTATTCTTGTATAGTAAACAAGCCTCCCTTGCTATATCTATGCTGGTAATACAATATGAATACCTTACCTGTTCTGTTCACCTAGGATGGAAACTGAATTGTCAGCATATATTGTATTACCTAACTGATGAGTTGTAAGTTTGTAGCTGAAAGTTTTGTTTGGTGGAGATTATGATATCTTATAAAATACTTTGCAGTGTTTAGAAAACTGATTTGGAGAACATGCCATTTTAAGAAGACAAACTTTTTAAGATACAACCGAAACTTAAAACATCTATTCCCAGTCGGAAAGATCGTAGAGAGGAAGTTGTCCTCGCTCGGCTCCGCACTGGGCACACATATCCTACTCATTCGTACCTTTTAAAACGAGAAGATATACCTTCATGCCACGCATGTGACACTCCATTTACAGTGGAGCATTTTTTAATAGAATGTTCCGATTTTAAACACATTCGTGATAACTACTTCCGAGTCCCGGATATGAAAACACTTTTCAGTTCCGTGGATTCGAAGGCATTATTTAACTATTTGAAAGACATCGGTCTATTTTATAGACTCTGATGTCTTTTAACCCACCTTATCCTTTTTGACGTTATATATATATCGCATATTCCATATCATCTATTCGTTATCTCTTTTATTATTTTAACCCCCTTTTATTATTTTTAATTATCTACACATACAATGCGAATACTTTTAAAATGAACCATTTTATCTGATTTTATCTTCGCTATTCACATGTTTGTTAAAAAAGTAAAGTGAATAAATAAATCACCATGGCCCTAAATGACCACAGCCGTCGATGGGCCGTTAAACATAAACAAACAAAACAAACAAACATGCCATTTTCCAGTCTTGCATGAAAGTATTATGACAAATATATTGGACCATTTCAATTTTGAATAATACATATGACCCCTTACTTGTAGATTTTTGCTTGATGAACATGTTTAGGATTCTGGATAGTGGATACTTATCTTTGACTGTGAAATATATATATACTATTATATATGACGTAGCTTGTATGAACAGTTTTGTTTCATCAACATAATTTCATATAATTGGTTTTGCATGGGTAGTACTCATAACTCGACTAATAACAAGTGTCTTATATTCCATTTTTAAAATAACAAAAATATGCTTACCTATCAAGTACTTATTCACCTCACTTGTATATATGTGCTCTAGACTAAAAGTGAAAAGTTTATCAGCAAGATGTTTGCAGATGTAAGAACACTTTTGTGGTTTCACCCATTTATCAGACACGTCAGTAGAACACCATTGATAACTTAAGTCTGGTGAGTGGTCATGAGTCTTGTTTCTGGGTTAACTTAAAGCTTGTTGCACATTTATCACTTTCTGATTGAGTCATCCAATACACTGGGTAAAAAAAGTGAATTTTTTTCATTTTCGTTGCAAGTTTATTTCATAAGTTCTATAAAATTAGATTGCTTAACGGCAAGGTAAGGCAAATAAGGGAAAATCTGTATCTATTTAATGTATAGTAAACATCCTAATTCAGTAATTGGTAGTAATAATGAGAGTCAACTGTTGCACTGGTCTTATGCATATGGTGGACAGAGAAAATAAAATATGGCCTGCATGGTATTGAGATGAAATACAGCTGTGGGAGCGCACAGTGTTACACAGTGTGTGCACGGAGTGTGCACAATGTGCGCACAATTGAAATCTAGACTATTATTGCTTGTGCACATTTGTGAGGACGATGGACGAACGTTGTGCAATGACAATCGTGGTTGGTGTAAATTGAGAAATGGCTTAACAATAAATACGGCCTCGTGATTAAACATATAAACTTCATTTTTAAGTATATTTCTATATTCTAGCTACATATATCAACTGGTCTTTCTATCTATATTTTGTTAATTAAAAATTGGTGTTTTTAGTGTTTTTCAAGCGACCCAAATTGACACATGTTAAATAATAGCACATACACGTATTGACATGGTCGCGCATACAGGTAAACATAGCCACTTGGTATCTGTACCTGGACCATTGATTTCCAAGGTGTGAAAATCCAGGTGAAGGGGTGCTATAGACCAAAGCGAATGCAAATAACAAATACTTAACATCCAGTTGTGCTTTCATAACAGTCATACGGTATCACTTATCAACTCTCTTTGTAAGGCACAGGTCAGGTAAAACTCTGGTCAATCATAAAATGTTATTTACCTGTTCTGTTACCTGAAAGCTAAATCCATTCTTGATAGACTTAACGGTCACTGTAATGCTGTGTAACACACATTGTAACATTAAACATAGTCCTCATTAATTTGATGAGGAATTTATATATATATACAGTGTTCCTTATTCCCTACGAGAGCTCCACATTTTTTTCATTCCGTAATATTGATCAACCAATTCCTACCAAATTGCACATTTGAGCGGAGAGAAGCGCACAACGGGGGGAACGATTGTTAAATTGTACATTTTTGTGGACGATGTATGCACTATGTGCACACGCTATTTGTGGTGTATTGCATGTGCAGTTCCACAGCTGTATCATACTTAACAGGCGATGCATCCCTTTTGATTAAGGTGATATGCAATTTCAAACCTCAAATTTCCATAAACTTATGATCACCATCCCACTTTTGGTTGCAGATCACCAATTCTGTATCCATATTGAACTGGTTGGGACAATAACTATTGTTCAGTTTTTACTAGAATTCAAATGTGCATATATACAGTGTAAATGAATGTCAATTTGTATACCGCCCAAACATATTTTCGTTTCAAAATTTTGTTTATAGTACTAATGATCCTCCTACATAACCGTGCTCACATTGATGTTATCCCCATATCAACTTCCTACACAGTACCTGATGGAATGTAGAGGTATACACCAAAGCCCACACAATGTCAGTAGGGCTGGGAGTATCACATGTTCTCATCAGTTTCGGGGTCTGATGTAATTGTGGTCAGTATATATATATAATATGCAAACATATATGTTGATGCAGCTATTATAGGCAAGGTGGGTGACTAACATATGCATTTACCTGTATGAAGCTAGATCAAGGATAAATCTATATAAGATTTTAGGTCATGTGGCTGGGTTGATTATTAAACATAAAACAGATATATAATTATATACATATGTATCCATTTACCTGTAGTGATACAGATTATGACTTTTCACACCTGTGGTCATGTGGCTAATTGTTTCAGGGCTAAACTATATTTTAATGTTATGAAACTAATCATGTATACCAGGTGTTGTGGCTGGGTTGAAAAGCAGATCTATATGTTACTGTATTGAATCAGATCATGATGGTGTACCGTGGGTCCAGTGGCTGAGTTGACTAATAGATCTATATTTACCTGTAGCGAGACAGATCATGAACTTTCATACCTGAGGTGGACCATAGGTTCAGTGGCTTAATTGGCCGACTATAACAGATCTTTATTTACCTATAGTGAGATGGATCATGACCTTTCATACCTGAGGTGTACGGTACTAAATAGGTCCAGTGGCTGGGCTGACTAACAGATCTATATTTACCTGTAGTGAGATGGGTCATGACCTTTCATACCTGAGGTGGACCTAAGGTCCAGTGGCTGGGCTGACTAATAGATCTATATTTACCTGTAGTGAGACAGGTCATGACCTTTCATACCTGAGGTGGACCTAAGGTCCAGTGGCTGGGCTGACTAATACATCTATATTTACCTCTAGAGAGGCAGGTCATGACCTTTCATACCTGAGGTGGACCTAAGGTCCAGTGGCTGGGCTGACTAACAGATCTATATTTACCTGTAGAGAGGCTGACTCAGCTGATGACTATCACTGTAACAACAGGGTGTGGTCATGATCAACAGTTGCACAGATGCTGGCAAATGTTTTAACTTCCGATTTTCATAGTTGTCTGGAATTTATGAAGTGCTCACAAATTGGAGTTGTACAGATATAAATAAAATGCTTGTCGGTCTGCTTTATCAGTGTATTATATATGGTCATTAGACATCACATTTTTGATGTAGATTTTTATATTGCTGTCTGTACAAACAACGTCATCCAACAAACAACCTGTGTTATTTCTTTATGTGTAGTCAAACAGTCTAGCAAGGTTTTGGATAGCTGTTTGTTCTCATTAATACTCCAGTGGAAAATAAAAGTACATGCTTTATAAAGGCCCCATTGATGATTTGACATCTGCTATTAATTAAACTTAGAATCAATATGTGGTACATAATGGCAGATATATCAAATAAAATGGCAGAATTTATTACTGTATTAGCATCAAATTCTGCAAAGCAGATTTCTGGATCTTTGAATACGAATACTTTGAAATGCTACACTTGATCCATGGGAATCGGGGAAATTTAAAAAGTCTGGACTAGGACTCGCAAAATAACAAATCATATTCGGTAGAGCTAGATTTAGTTACCTCCACCACTGTTCTTAATGGGCGACAACCAGACATATTGTTTTCAAAAGTCATTTATAATATTTTCTAGCAGAAAGCAAGTATCTATACCGAATCTAAAGCGTCAGAAAAAAGATACTGTAGGTGATTTCCCATCCTTTGAATTATCGTCATTTTAAACATAAAACTTGATGATTTTATCCCGTGTACAGAGTAGTATAGGTAGGAACGACTCGTGTCTATAGATCATAATATGTTCTGCACAGTGCTTGTCCAATAGGTTTTTCATATTCATGTTTTTTGCACAAATTTACTGATCTACCAAATGAGTTGATCATGTTTTTGCCTGGAGTCTAGGAGCTCCAGTTTGTTAACAGTTTTAATTCTGTTCATTTTACATGTTACACATTTTGTAAATTTATACTTTTTATGTCTAAATGTTCTTTATGCATCAGCATGCGTATACATGCAACCTGAGTCACACAAGATGGTATCGGTGATACG